TAGGTCTACTATGTTGACTATTATGTACATAAGACAAGTTTTCGATAGACGGTAAAACTTGACATAATTGAGTTGTGTTTTGCAAATTTCCTTATTTTCATCATACATGATCTACATCTATTTCCTAATTCAACGTATGAATTGTAACAACCATTTCCAAGGGTCTGTAATGCAACACAACATATCATACATCATATTTGACCATACAACACAAGTTATTCCCCTCGCCCAGGTTAACGATGACATGACGTCACCCTACCCCCTCCACAACCCCATCCCCACCCCAACCCATCCCTCATACATTGCTTCTGAAGTACGAAAGACGTTAGCATTGTATTAGGGATATCGGATGTATTATTTTAGGACGGCGGCGGCAGACGTCACAATTGTCTTGTTGACACCTGGCATAGACGTACATTTTTGTACGTCACTTTGAACGAGCATATCAGGCAAGCACTAAATGTAAAAACAAAACAGTTGATGTCAGCAGCTTAGTAACATGTTGTTTAACAATGCTAGAAAGTTTCATACAAATACTCGACAAAAAATTAATTCATGCATATATGGGTTAATGAGGTTTAAGGTGCAGTTTCCCCAGAACTCTTTAACAGCCTCAGCTACTTCCTGATAATCCTGTCTCCCTGTCGCCACCCGGCAGTACCCACGATCACTGACTACCTAACACACAACCGACGTCCGTCCCACCTCACAGCGTCGGCGGCGACGCGTCGGTTCGCCCGACTGGCGCGTCGACATCAGACCTCTCTGGTGACGACGGATGGCCCAACTTGGGACAGGCACAACTAACGACACTGCCAACTTTGCGGTGGGGATGAGGGAGGGGAGGGGAGGGGAGGCTATCGCAGAGGTCGGGATTGTGCGTGAGGATTAGACTGGGTTGGGTGTGAAGTGTGATGTAAGTGCAGGGCTGGGTGTGTAGTGAGTGGGGTTGAGTGTAGAGTGAATGAGGTTGAGTGTGCTGCGCAAGTTGAATTGCTGAGAAGCTAGATCCGTATCGAGTGAGGCTGAGTGTAAAGTGTTTGGGTGCAGTTCGTCTTGGTCTGATTTATTGATTTATGTAGTTAAATGGAAAGATTTCCCGTAGGCAACTAATTAAGCTGAATTGTTGTGCTTTCAATCGACTCAACCTTGTCTGCTTAGTGTGCAATTGCTGAAATTGTATCTATTGACTGGTTGAAAGGTCTCAAAGCGCAACTGGCTCGGAACTTCAAGCTTGAATGGGCACATGTAAACACATGCGAATATCTGCCTACCTTATATTCCTTATATTCGTTGGATGTGACAATAAACCTGAAAGTCGGGTTAAAGTGAAACAATCTTGCTGACATACATTTCCGTTTAACCCTCGCCAGACCTATTGGTTTTCTACATACGCGCCGGCCGAGGGGGGGGGGGGCGGGTACGACCCCCCTCGCCGTTTCGCCCCTGGTGGAGCTAGCGCGTCGCGGAAAAAACGAGCGTGCGCGCCGTTACGAGACGCAGAGATTGGTACCCGATTTTAAGGTCCTAGGTCAACCGGTGACCTCTGAGGTCAGGTCAAGTGCCCCAAGGGGCGGTTCAGTTTTTGGTGAATAACTTCGCAAAAAACGGCCGCAGAGCCGCGATTTTGGCAGCATCGTGTTCGCCTCGTTCAGGCGCGTCGAATGATATACTTTTTGTCCGGGTCAGTTCAACTTGGGGTGTTGACCTCAGGTCAAGGTCAGGTCAGCACCCCCAGGTCACGAAGTTGGTCGAAAGAGGTCATGTCGCATATCATACGATTCGGCAGGTCTTCCTGAGTCCATTGGTGGCTTTCCCGAGTCGCTAGCTCAATTTGATCAAGAGTTATTGACGAAAAACTAATATGACCTTGATGACGTCATAAATGACGTCACGCAAGGTCAACATTACAAAAGTGACGCATCTAACCTTGCAAGGAGTGCATCAAATCACGATTCTGTGTGCTTGAGATAGTTGGAGATCGTTCCCGGCGCCAGAATAGCAGTTTCCATTTTCCCCATTGACTTAGGTGAGGTCACGAAAATGACCTGACCTCATATGACCTTTAGGAAAAAATCCGAGATATACAAGTTGTGAGACTCATAATGGATACTAGATCCTGCAAGTTTCATTTCCCTGTGACATCTCCTCTGGCAGTGAGGGCGTTGCGAAGTTGCGCATCTCTGAAGACCGTGCAGAGGTTCACTTATGACGTCATACTGACCCAAAAACGCGGTTGGTGTCAAAAGATCCGGCTTGGATTAAAGGTCAGGTATGCCAAGTTTCAGCTCTCTATCTCCAGCGTGTTCGGAGCTATCTCGAAAAAACCCTATGGGGGGGGGGGGCGGCGGCACCCGCCCCCTCCCCTCGGCCGGCGAGGGTTAAATTCGACGATATTTAGCCCCCATGTGCAGTAAGACATTTTGCCTATATCCAACATTAATGATAATAATGTAACAAATTATCGGGAACGTAGTAACTCTGGGATAGAGCCTGAATGTCGCCGTATGTGGGTCTCTGAGTTATATGGGCTGAGCTTGGAGTAGGTATCTCTAAAGGTGGAGCTCCGAGTGTCCTTATAGGTAGAGCTCGCAGTGATGTATAGGCAGAGCGCAGAGTAGAGCCCAGGTGTCCCTATAGGTAGAGCTCGGAGTGATCGAGGCAGAGTGCAGTGCCCACGAGCAGCAGGTTGGCTGTAAAAGGCCGTATTGAGGTGATGGGGCTTTTACGACCGAAATTTTACGGCACTCGACAGGTAATACTTGGAGTGGCTGGCAAAAAGTCGATGGTTCGGGCAATCAGAACACATCGTGGTGTGTAACCGATGGAACGATGATTGTTGCCCTTATGTTTTGAAATTGGATGCACGTAAAGGCGCTTCTAGCTTATTGAATGAATTTACTTCCATTCCATCTCAATTAAAGGTGCAACTTATTCTCTGTACCTTTTTATGTGCTCGGTAGAGTGTGCCTCTACGGTAAACATGCTCACTAACCCGCTCCAGGGAATGCTGAAAAAGTCCCTCCGCTTATCTAGCCAAGCAATAATGAAATTCTGCTTCCCGGATCTGAACACTAGGCTGAATCAGTGAGAACATAATTTACAACATTTTCTCAACGAAGTAGATGCTCCATTTTCTTCAAATGTATGCGATACATTAAAAGAATTAAGCAAATACCGTGTCACTTAGCGCTAATGCCATGCTAAACATAGGGCACCAATACTAATGAGAATAGCCATACATTTCTTCTCTGTCGCACAGCTGCAGACTTAAAATCCTCTCTGGGCTGCGCATTTCAGAAGTTCAGCGCGACATATTTGGGCCGTGGCACCGAGTGAGGGCGATTTATTCTCTGTCCAGTCCACTGGAAAATACCGTGTGAAACTGTCCTGTGTCACAGGCAAAATGGCTGCATCAGAACTGAAGAGCGCTCGGCTCTCGTTCGACTTCCCGGTCTCACAGAAAGCCGAGTGGGCCACTGGAGCTGGCTCATTTTAAAATATATCATCAGTGATGTCAGCCCGGGGATTATACACACTAAAACATTTCTACTTTCCGTCTAGATTTGCTAGGCTGGGCACTATGAAAGTGCGCTAGTGCGATGGTATAGACGGAGGTGATTGTTTTAACTTACAGTTCAGTGGGTACGAAGAAGTACATAATATTCAATTGCTGATGGGTCCCGGGGTGCATTGCCTGCTCTTCATGCGTCCAGTCCTTCAAGTAATGTTTCTGGACAATTTCCAGCGAAGATTTCGACATTTCGGTACACTTAGGCTTTAACATCTGAATCAGGTCTAACCCCAGTTCAAGGGTGCCTATAACTGACATCAGCAGCAACCTGTCACATCTCCCACCAGTTTCCCATTTCTTAACCGGGCCCGGGTGAGGCCCGGGCACTTCCCAATAACGTGCAACACCTCTGCAGGCCGGGCTGGGCCGGATTCAATTAGTGGCTTCTTCCAGGAGCCGGCGAACTGTAATTATGCATCGGTCGAGCCGGCGAGCGCCGTCAGATTGATAAAACGAACCGACGTCGCGGCGGCGGCATGGCGGCAGAAAGGGTGGAGTGATGCTGCCACCATGGCAAGGCAGGCTGGATGCTGCGACCGCGGACCCTGCTTCGGCAGGGCGGATGCGCTGCTGTTATATTGCTAGGCTTTGCTAAAAGCCAACTCTCATAATGATATAAAATATCCGAAAAATAAGTAGGTATTACAAACTAAAGTAATGTTCAAAGAATGGAATGGAAGAAAGATTTAACATGTTTTTGTTTTTGTTTTAAGCGTCATATTTTTCGTTAGTAAATCTGTTCTTGTCCACATAAATGCAAAAACGTCATGTTCGAAAAAAATGTTTGAATAAAACATATGGTTGATAACTACTCTATCAATCTGCCACCCCTTCATTCTTCTACAGCTATCCGTTATGCTTCCTCAACAAATTCCAAACATCTGAATGTTTTCAGCTAAAATATTGTTACATTCGGAGCGCTGTCCATCGAGTCGGTCCAACCGGCAGAGCGGCTACTTGGATTATTTTCCATGTCGCTCCGAGTAGCGCAGTGTCTTCCGACATCCAAAGGTCACGGCTGTATGGGCCCGGTTATACAGAGACCACTCCAACAAACGGAAAAGGTCGGCAGTCCGGAGGCTCTCCGCTACACATGAATACAGAGGTTTGGAGCTGCATAGAGGAAATTCATGCGTGGTTCGAATTTCACGTCATCGATAAAAAGGCGATATGCGTATCTGCTCGATAGTAGCTAGCTGTGGTTTGAACGTGTGCGATGTGCAATGTGCAATGCTGTCCACAGCCGTTGTGATGAGTCATTTCGTATCAGTGGTGCATAGCTTCCCAGCAATATTTTTACATTAATAGTGAAAGTAGCCGGATGCTGCTGTTCCTGATCCCCTCAGTCCATATTTCGTTCCCTAGCCTTTTCCTTATGTTCAGTGGCTCGTCTCTCCTTGTAGCGTTCCCAAACCAAACGACCGGACAATTTCCGTATTTTAATTCTCTCGTAAATCATAGGTACAATTATTGTTGATATAGTCCTCGTCTATATCTGGCAGCGGTTCTAACGATATAGGCTTCTTTGCTGAAAGATGATCACGGGTCTGAAACAAAGGGAGGGAGAGAGACGGCTTCGGTCAGAACTGGGAGAGAGACAACAGGCAGATATTGATGGCATAAGACAAACACAGCGTGGCGAATGGAAACAAATAGACTCTCTCGTAGTCGGAGAATGGATCTGAGCGGTGCTCGAGCGGACTGGAGACGAGCGGGGAGGGAACAAGGATCGGCTGGGAAGCTGCGTGGCCTGGTTGTCTGATAGCCGCATGAAAAGCATTTGGTCAAATGTCAACCTGGGCCGCAATGCGATGTCAGCGATAGCGCACGACCTCTCAGCCGTAAAACGTATGTACTACCGAAAGTTCGCATCAGAGAGGATAGTCACCTGATACGTCAAGATGTCGTCATTCGGTAGTCATCGTGATTTGGTGTCGCCTATGATATCGCTATCCGTTATCGTCCAGCTATTGCCATATGATATCACCCAGACACTGGCTGAGGGCTGGTCCCCACACCCATGCCGTCTGCGGTCGGGATCCATCGATCTTCTGACGCTAGCGTAACTCGCTCGACGAGCGGTCAACTATTGGATTGCACCTTCATAGCTGACCAAGGTCGGCCGGATATTTGTCAGATATCTGTAAGCATGCACCAGTCGGGTACTATCGGTCGTGTAATGGTCGGATATCGGCAAGTATCGGCCTGGTTTCGGTCGGCCTGTCGGGCTGCAACTGCCTGTCAGTCTGTCGGTCGTGAGTGGCGTGCCGGTCAGATGTCTGACAAATACCGGTCTGTGGTTTCGGTCCAGTGATGCAGACCAGACATCGGTTGGGTTCCAACTACTTGGATGGCAGACAGAGGCGTGATTCGATCAGGTCCACATGTGGAGTGAGTCGATCCAGCTTCAGATAGACACTGACTGGGTCTGGACTCTGGGTATCTGTTCGAAGTTTGCTAAAAATAGCGTACGTGTTGACAGTTGGTTCAGACAGGATGCGTCAGGTGCCGATCCGAAACTGACCCGATGGGTCAGGTATATGTCAGATATCGGTCAGGTGCCGGTCTAATATCGTCCGGTGTGGGTCTAATATGTTCACAGGTCACGTACCGGTCTAATCTAGTCAGTTGCTGGTCTGATCCTGGTCTAATATGGTCAAGTGTCTGTCATCTTGGTCCGATATTCGCCAGGTACCGTTCCGATGCGTGGCCCACTCGCGGCGGTGACCACCTCTGCTGCCGGCGGACGCAATCAATAGTCGGCCGTCGCGCGGGGCCTGGGCCCGGAGGCTGCGGCATACTCTCCTCTCCTGGGAGAGTCCGTCGGCCTCGGCTGACCAGTCGCGCGCCGGGCCGCTTTTTGAGCCCGGAGACGCCCCAGATCGGACTGGACGGCGGGGTTTACGGCCGGAACATGTCTCTGATTGTGGCGCCGCCCGAATAGAAACGACAAACAAAGAGACGGCACGGGGAGATACCGGACACGCTGGCCGGACGGCCCGCGGGCGGTGATTGAATGGCAGAGGAGCCGCCCGGGGGTGGAGCCGTCTGAGTGGTGCCGGGACTGCCAGGTAGTGGAATGATGGTGGATTGAAGACGGCTCTAGGGATGGGATTGGGGTTGAGGTTGTAATGAAAGGAATTCGCAACGGAGCTAGGTTACAAAATGTTGTCCAAAATGGTTTGCCAGTAAATTCCGACTATGAAAGACAAATATCACCATGAAAAGTTGTGGCTCCTGACAATTGTTACGAAAGAAGACAAGTCTCTCAATTAAGCCCTCTTCTTACCATTGGAGCTAGAGTAGTTAGAAGCTACGCGTCGTTGCGAACATTCATCAGAAGCCAAAATCGTTGCGTGATCCCACCTGTTCGACCTTCCTGAGCACACGCAGAAAGTTGAGGCCGACCACCTTTCTGACGTCGGCCTCTGACCAGCCTGGCCGACCGAGCAGCTCGGCCACCAGGTAAGGATATTTGGACGGATCCTCGAGCCCCTCGGGCACCCTGCCGGCACACAGACACAAGCATACACCATCAGCTGGTGAGCGCTAAAATGCGTGACGAATAGACAGATGGTGATCCTCTGGGAAGTGGGAAGTGTTGTGTAGCAGTATGAAGTTTGTCCATGTTCATTACCTTCTTACTGGGGAATAGGCAGCACATGTGGGTATTCGATCAGATGTTGTCCAATGATATGTAACTCCAGCTCGGGTTTTCCTATAGGAGCTGTACGCCCATCCCAACAACATCGGCGGCGCGCCCAGGCATCCATCGATTCGCCGATACAACAATGCAGCGGGGCCCTTCATACCATTCACATGCAAATGGCCATTCGGCTGGCTTTTTCACCTGCATCTCCTCCCAAAGAGGCACGCACAATGCATCTCCTTAGCTGGCATCTAGCTGCTACTGGGGTAGCCCCATGGACGCCCAACAAAGTAGCCAAACTCCACCATTGGAGCAAGTGTTCTCTCAATGCTGACGGATGTAGTCACGAGGAAAATATAAAGCTAGTGCGATCTACATGTGAAATATGTCTTTAAACATTTTATTCTGGCGAGTCGCAATCACAGACACTGTTGCTGTGTGATTTCGCCGTTTCGCATTTGGTATATGGCTGTAATATGTGGGTTATGAGGCCCAGACGCAATCAATCTCGACTTCCCACGTTCGTTTCTGGTGCAATATTTCCAACAGAATTATAGAGCCGGGAGCGCCGAAACAATGTCGAGAGAAAACTCATGGTCCCTGAGGTCTGCCAGTGCAAAATATGACAAAGATTAATGACAAGCTCACCAAATGTTTTTAATGACGTGATATAAGACAGGACCAAACAAGAAATCAGACAACTCAGCTGCCTGCTGATACAGCGGTATAAGTAAAGCGCAATGGAGTGCGATCCGTTGCGTTAAAGATACCGCGGAGTATCCACTCCCGTGTGCTATTTATCGATTAGGCACCAACACTTGACAGAGTTGACACCAATATGCAATACGAACGGAAGTGCATACCAGCACCTCCATACACTACTGAATTGAGTACCCCAGCCTCCATCCAGGTACATTCCAACCCTCGTTTGAGTGTATCCCTGCCTCCGTTTAGGCATACCCCAGCCCCCGTTTGGGTGCATTCCAGCCCCGGTTTAGGTGTGTAAACCCCTCCTCCAGGCGGTACTCACAGGTCAATACCGTCGTAGCCGGCCCCGAGACCAATGTGGTCCACCCCGGCCACCCGACGAATGTGCTCTATGTGAGCTGAAAAACAGACAGAGCACAGTCAGATCACCGGAGAACAATAACAGACCTACAAAATAAATTGATTTTGGCGTCGCAGAACAGTCTGCGTAGGAGAACTAGCACGTGCACTGTGTTGGAAGAAGGGAGCTCGTAAATGTTTACTACCGTTATTCTTCATCTTCCTAGTAAACATGCATGCTTGATCCATGTAGTAAACCGAATGGATTACGTCTAACACTGGGGAATCAATTTACATAATGGGTTTGTTACTAACCAGTGTTTCCATTTGAATAAATACGAAATATTGTCATGCGATCGCTGCGACAAGCTTTGTCATCTGATGATTGTTGATGTCAATTTTGCAGCCAACAGATGCCAGATGCCCAACAGACGCCGGCCTAAATTTCAAGTTCGAAACTTGAACTCTCGCGCAGCTCAACAGCTCTGGCCGTTCCATGTCAGGATGGTGCAGTCGTCTCTCCCGGCTATCTTTAGACAGTCGGTCGGCCGGACTGTGGGCTTTTTCCTCACATCATTATCCTCCGCTCACGGGTATTCTGGGAGACGGCCAACCCGCGGGCAGACGCTCCTTCTCCTCCATAACCTTCTGCAGGAATCTGAATGTGATTCTTGGTCTCGTGCTGACTTGCAAAAACATGATAGATAGCTCACAATGCATATGTTCAGTAGGCAAATGAATAAAAAGATTAACATTAATGTATGTAAGGGTTAGGCCGGCATTCACTAAGTGTTATTCAAACCAGCGATATTGCATAGTACGTACTACGTACCTATACGATTTTTGACTGCTGAGCTGATCTAATCCTTACTTCATTTTCGATGCTTTTTCTAATTTTTCATCTCAAGCCTTACGGAAGAGATTCCGTTCGGGAAGAAACTGCTGCGCTTTAATTGTACTCGGGCATTATCATGATCCATATATCACGCACTATCATTATCCGTAATTTATGTGCGTGTTTTTCCTTGTTCTTCTCCTCACGCTTGTTATGAATTAAGTGATAGATTTCCTGTGTAACAAAGGATGCTAACCTATGCTTCGTCCATGCAAGCGAAGGTTTGAAGCTGTCGGTTGACACTGTAATATTGACTGTTGTAATTGAGTGATAAGTTTAGGTAAATAGGCATGGCACTGACAATTTTCCAAGTCTTCCTTCCTTTGCACTTATGTACCCTTGACTTTAGATAAATAGGGATGAAGTGCATTTATGGCTCGCTGCGTTGCAGCATGCATTGAATATGTAAACGAAACCTTAGATTCCTAAATAATCCCGTTCGGGTGGAGACTTCCACTGACGTCCAACTGACGTCTAACCGAGCAGACGTCCAAGTTGGCGTCTAACTTGGCGTCTAACTGTTGGACGGAGACTTCCAAGCTAGACGCGTCTAAATTTAGCCGTCGCCAGATAGACGCAGTTGCCGTCCAGCTAGACGCGTCTAAGACTTAGACGCGTGTAGCTAGACGCGAAATGGAAGTCTCCACCCGAAGATAAACACTCATATTTTTAACGAACTTTGACTATATTGAACACTCACAGTCCACAGATACAAAACTTCTTTGTTCTAAGACTTATGCAAAGTCATTTACTTTATTTTAGCGTTAAACGTGTAATGTGAAGCCTGTATCAATAATTATACATACCTATAACATCATGTATAGTTGCATTCTTCCCACAAGTTAGAAAACGATTATAAAAGCTGACCATCACAATACCGCCGTGCAGCGCCTGAAACAGAACGGAACAGTCTCTGAGATGAAGTGCCGTGTCAGCTGTGGGGGCAGCTGCACAGGCTGATACAGACCCTATTCACCGGTGGATCCATACCGGGGTCACGGGGTCAGCCTCCTCGAAGGTCTCGTTTCAGCAGTCGTCTATGGTAATTGGCAGTACAGGAAAGGAAGAGAGCGACCTTCCCAAACTGCTCACCCCCGAAACGGCCTCCTGACTAGATCCATCAGTGGCTAGATGGCACAAACGGTTGATTGATATTTAAAACAGAAATTGACTGAATTACCTATTCTTCGCAGTACCTACCTATCTGCTTAAAAGAACAAAATTCTAAAAACTAAAACACACAGACACACATTTTATCCGCGACTGCCCGCTAATCCCCCATAAAAGACACAAACCGAACGTTCATCGGTTTATTTTTCATCGCCAATAGAGATCATAGATCACATCGCCAATATTTCAGACCATTGCAATATCTCGCTTTTAATAAACGAGACAAGACCAGCCACCCATCATTTCTACTCACCAGCTGTTTCAAGATGGCGTCCGGTACGTTTCTTGAGATATTGCAGAGCGCATGCGCAGACGAATGAGAAAACATGACGGGCGCTCGCGACACCGCCAGCACATCTCGCATTGTTTGTGTGCTGGTGTGACTGAGGTCGACCACCATACCCAGACGGTTCATCTCCCGCACAACGCTCTGCGGACAGACGAGAGGAGTTGGGTGTAATTGTGATACTCAGGTCCGGATATTGTACCTAATGGGAACACTTCCGACACTTAGTCAAAAGTAGGTATACCAATGGACGGGATTCTCATCCATTCCCATCATGAATACTATAAGTTATAACAAGTATTCCAATGGGCACCTATGAAGACAAGTCTCATGTGAACGATGAGCGGTGGTGACACTTGCAGGCACGAGATTGTCCCATTACGCTGATTTTAACCCTATTCCTGGCGGGCTCCGCCGGGACAAGAAACTGGCGGGGGGGGGGCCGATTCGCCCCCCCCCTGAGATCTCGAGAACGAAGCAAGATAGCGACAAGCGGTAAACGGCATCGGATACGCACGGCCAAGATCTACAATTTTTACTAAGATCATTTTCAGGTCAGGTCAAAGATGACGTCACAGGGGTCGAAAAAGTCAAAATGGCGGCGCTAGATATGGAGAGAGTTTTTCTCGAATAACTTTCGAATTAGTCAAGATAGGAAAAAACGAAGGGCATCATCGTGATCCTCTCGTCAATCCGCATCGAATGATATATATGTTGACCTCGAAAGGTCAAGGTCAAAGGTTGACCTCAGGTCACGTGACCTCGAGGTCATCATGTATATCATTCGATGCGTCTTGACGAGCTGAACACAATGAGACCATCCACGCGTCTGTATCTTGTTCCTGTACGGAGTTATTGGCCAAAAACCTTTGGTGACCTTTGATGACGTCACATGACCTCACAGCTGCCCAACAGCAAAACAGACCTCAAGGTAGTGAAGGTTGATTGTATATGAAGTCATGTATGGTATATGGGGCCATTCCGACCCGTTTTAGTGGTAAAAACAGGGAGTTGATTTTTCCCCCCATTGACTTATAATGGGGAGGTCGCGAAACTGACCTGACCTTAGGTCACCGATATCAAAATTCCGAGATATACAAATTGCACATACTGGTACCCTAACTAAAGCCTGAAGAGAAGAAATTGATCGGTCAAAAACTCTAGCTCTGGCGTGATTGCAAACTTTTCTGAGGTAGGGTCACCAAACCGCCTCTGGTGACCTGACCTGAGGTCAGATCAACTCAAAATTTTCAGACATGTTGCGTAGAAGCCTTTTAGGAAAAGTCAGAAAATTTGAGCTTCCTAGCTCAACGCGTTTGGGAGAAATAACCAAAAAACCTCAGGGGGGGGGCTCCTCAGGCCCCCCCGCCAGGAATAGGGTTAATGATGCAGTAAGCTGGCAGCCATGCGACGTGTGGTCGAGTTAAGCACACAACCTTAGCTGCAGTAGGTCAGGGGGAAAAAGAAAACGTAAAAACATCAACAAACATCACACCATTTCCTTTGCCTTTCTTTCCTGCAAATCCCCGAGAAACGAAGCGGCCATCGATATCACACTGGCGGGAGCACGCTTCATTGCTTTCCGGTTCTCCTCCATATCTGAAGAGGGCCGACGATGTCTTTCGGTCGCCACGAACGGAGAAACAAACAGGAAAAACACCACAGGCCGGGCCGGTATTGATAGGTGCACTCGACATCGGGGCAGGAGGACAAACTGGCGTGACGTTGCCACAAATGCTGTCTAGACACCGCTGCTTCTCCGCTGAATGCAGGCATTTGTCAGCAAACCTGGAGCTTCTAGCGGAGGCTGGCTGTCGGAACACCTTTGGTGATGTTCATCACCTGTGGCTGTTTTGAGGCTTCATGTCATTGTCCAGTCGCGTTGACCAAGACAAGGCATACACAAGTATGCGTAAGGAATGCAGTTTGCGTAAGTCGTTAGAAATTTAAAGTTTTAGATGGCTCTTTGAGGAAGTGGAAGATGCGTGTAGGTACTGTTCAGTGTCATGCCCGGGCCAGTGCAAGTGGCCACCCGGACCCCTAGCCCAAATATAAAACAAGTGAGATGGAAGTGTGACGGCATCGTGGTGGGTTGCGTTTACAAAAACATACCAAAGTATATAGTTCTGTTCTTCCCCTTTGGGCCCAATGTTCGTCGCTCTTTTGTTTTTAGAACCACTCTTTAGTTAACCGATCGGAGTTTAGAGGTGTGTCTTTTCAATTTACGAGCTTCGCGTACATTAAGTGTGAGGAAAGAAATGCCCAAATGCACCTTTTATGTTCTTTTTAGCACCAGTAGCAACACCATCGCTCGTAGGGCAACAAAATGTTCAGCTTTAAAAGATGGGTGAAAGTGAGGCTGCCGCAGAGTTAAACAGTTCGACCTATTACAGCACAACTTTTCTCGAAAATAGACTGAACGAAACTCAGTTAAATTTAATAAAGAGACAAAAATGGCCATTGGATCCATCGTCAGATGGCAATTGGATCTGTTTGACTGGAAGAGAGAGAGAGAGAGAGAGAGAGAGAGAGAGAGAGAGAGAGAGAGAGAGAGAGAGAGAGAGAGAGAGAGAGAGAGAGAGAGAGGAGAGAGAGAGAGAGAGAGAGAGAGAGAGAGAGAGAGAGAGAGAGAGAGAGAGAGAGAGAGATAGAAAGAGAGAGAGAGAGGGGGAGAGAGGGAGAGAGAGAGGGGGGAGAGGGAGAGAGAGAAGGTAGGCGCGCAAGGATAAAGAGATAGCGGCATAGACCGTAAAGAGCAACAGGAAAAGGGAGAGCGGAGGAGTTACTGCGGCGTCTGTCACTCCACCAATGGCGGCGCCCCTCCCTCTCATTTGGCTGATGGTGTGTGCGGCGCAGACATAAATCTGTCGTCGCCGATACCGTAAATAGCCATCAAAGGGTAGCGCCGCCGCCGCCGCCACCCCATCGCCCGCGCGAGCTGCCGTAGACCCGACCGCCGGTGCTGCAGGGGTATCCACTATCCATTTACGCTCTATTCAGGGAGACACCGGCGGTGGGAGATGGAAGATGTTGGTGGTGGGTGGCGGCGGACTTGATAGGAGGATGGCGATGGCTTTGGTCACCGATGGCAAGCCAGGGATAAACAGGCGAGGTTTTGTAAGAGATGTTCTGCCGTCTTAGGTGCGAAGTTGAGAAATTTGTCACACTAGAAGAGACAGGCAAAACTGATCTAGCAGCTTTACCAGCTGAGAACTGAAGAAGGCACATGGGTGACATTGATCAACTAAATCATGTGCCTGAATAAAAAGTCAGATGGGTAGGGAAAAGACGGTAGGAAGCTTGTCTACCGAGTGCACCAACTTAGACCGGGGTCACGCGTGGAGGCGTTCTTACCTCACCAAACTCTGTGAGACCTCGCTGTTGCAGAGATGGAACCTCCGAGTACTCCGACCTGGAACACATCAGTCACAGCGTTAATACGAATTTGTATACAAATTCGTATTTTTTTATACATAAAAAACACATTTCCTATACTGCGAGATTATTGCAACAATCTTGCTCAAATGTTCAGCTTCAGCATCCAAGGAAGCTCATAGTCCTGTAAGTGCGTTGTACAACTTTCCGCAAGAGCCTATATATGTAGTTATTGGCGCCTTCAGAAAATTCCCCCCATTATCCGATGGTAGATCATTAGGAGGTGCCAAGCATTGAGACGCATTAGCGTCTCCAATAACCGTATACGCGGAACTGTGAATATGGTTATGGTGGAAACGATAGCTAATTACGATACTGGCGAACGCCACAGTACACGATCCATGTATCACCGGCAGTAATCCTTTGAGGTTAATCTACCATCACCAACATCGTACGCATGTAATAACCGATGACACACGAAATTAACATCAAAGCGTCAACCGACAACCCAAACACAATAGTTCGCTTTGCCTTGCCAAGTCTTGCAGCGGCTGGCATGCGTGGGTATCGTTTGTATGACTAGCACCGCGCTCAGCTGACTTCCTACATAATCATCCATTACTGCTCAGACCGTAGTGCTTTGTCTGCGGCCCGACAGCAGGAGCGTAGTACCACGCCCACTTGCCGTCCCCGCGGCTCAGCTGACCCGCCGTGACGTCATCAGGGGCATCCGGTGACGTCAGCGTGGGTGGTGCCTTACCCAAGAGACCCAGGTGTGTGAGGTGTAAATATATGCGAGATCCGTCAATGTAGCGATCTGCGTAGGTGCAGCTATATTTACTTTGATAGATGATCCATGTATAGCTGCAATTATATGACGGCCCGCGTGTGAAGGTTTATTAGGTTTTTGCAGCATTGGGATGCTCCCCCCCCCCCCCCCGCAGAGCCTGAAATCGGCGAAAATTTGCGTTTTTTTTTAGAATCAAACAAAAAGTTAACAACTTCTTTTATGTTAGGAAAGGTTTCTTTTAAACTGCGTAGTGCGTTAAGGAATCGAAATTCGATGAGTTTTTTTTCAATTCGGAGATATGTTTTTGGGGTTATCTCCGTCCTCGGCGTCAAAGACCGCCTTTCTTGATCCGCTAGTGCCTTAAGTACAATTAGAAGTAAATGGCCACTACATGTATTTACGCATGCCTGCTAATGCATGCATTTGCAGCAATGTGCAATAAACTAATATGTTTGTGCTCGGAAGGAGTCACCTAGCTACGTTACGGTCGCTGGTGCATCTCATGACTCCATAATAAGAGTAGCGGCGGCCATTGCGGCAAATATAGGGCGGCCAGGCTGGCGCAGCACACACATGGCGCGACATAAGTGGCGCGCCGCCGATCGCTCACAGCCAGTGTAGTTATTGTGTGGCAGAAAGTCGTATACTAGCGCCATGACAAAATGCAGGCATGGGTCTTATACGAGGCATGATTAACGCTGGTTTGGTGTTACATGGAATTCTAAACGAATAAAGGGAAAGAGCGACTATGTAGAATCGACAGTAGCGCCAGCTGCAGGGTTGCCGTTATTTCTAGGTCCTGCTATCAGGTCCTGCCTCACTGAAAGCGTACCTCCCTGAGCAGTGTACACAATGAGTAGCCATATTTTTCAGTTCCCGCCTTTCCATTTCAGCGTGCGTCCCTCTCAAAAGTTCAGCTCCCACCATCAGATGAAACGATACATTTCATTGACTTTCCAGCTGCGGCAACTGTGTTTTATCGATGTTGACATTTGGACCGCTGAATTTAAACTGAAGATCAAACGAAAGAAGTCACGGAACGCTAAAAGCGAGGGCTGTTTTTTCTTGGCTGAGATCGGGGGCGGCTGCACAAAGTAGGAATGGGCAAAACATCGCACGCGTACTCGTCACTGGTAGGATGGCAACGTAAAGCTGGTGCTATGTTCACATTATTTAGCTCTGGAAGCAAAAATTAATCAACTCATGGATAAAACAAAGTTGAGTTAGCAAAGCACAGGACGACAGTTACAGCGCACAGTGATTACCGCCCCCGCATTGACCTTCGCCCAGTGATCTTCAGTGACTTCTCCCTAATGGATGACAGTGACCTCTGCCCATCGACGGCAGTGACCTTTGCCAATTGGACGATGGTGGCTGCCTCGATGGGCCAGAATGCCTTTTCTTCGGTGACCTCTCGTTACTGGACAGAAATGACCTCTCCGCAGTGACCTCTCCCTTCTCGACAAACAGTGACCTCTCCGCTGAGCGACAGTGACCTCTCGCCACTTTTGTCAGCGCGGCGGCCCGCAGTGTGGTGAGAGTCGCCCGTACTGAAATGTCCAGTATGGTGAAGGAGAAGCCAAACTTCGCCAATAAAGGGGATTTCGGTCTGTGAGGCGAGCAGACCCAATATTTGAGCGACTCTTGTAATCCAATACCGGTTCAGTCTCAGGTCCAATATAGACTGAACAGAGGAAGAATCATGAGACAACGTCGGCTTCTCTCCGTGGAGTTACTTATTACGAAAAGGTCGCGCGAACAATTTTGAAATCAACGGATGCACTGCCTTCAGGGGTGTGTTGACGTTGATATGAGAAAACAAATGTGCACTCAGGTGCGTGCATGTTCATGTGATCACAAACCAGGATGTGCTGCAGGTCACCTGACTACCTACCATGGCGTACTTAAGGCCACTCGATACCACGGACCCGCGGTGTACTGCAGGCCATGTGCTAACTTACCACGATGTGTTTTAGGTGATTTCTCACTCAACATGGTTTCCTACAATTCCGTGATCGCTACCATGGTTTCCAGCAGATCCCGTGATTACTCACCATGGTGTACTGCAGGTGTGTGTGAGGGTCAGGTAACGGGCTCCCAGGTCGTGAAAACTCCTCAGAACAGACAAACTGCTGGCGATGGCGTGACCTCCCTCAACACCGAGCAGACTGGCCATTCGGCCTCCTTTGTGGATCTCCAGAATCTCTGCCGGTATATGGAAGAGCGGTCAGCGGGAGGGGCCTGGGGTCACGGCATTATGGGAATGAATATTAAATAATTATCTTGAAGTGTTAGTAAGTTTCGTGGCGTAAACCTGTTGAATTGTTTTTTTTATTTTTTATAAGAAAATGGGCAAATTACTTGCGATGAGAGCAGCGTCTACATAGTTTTTCAGAGAATGGATGGCTTGAACGAGACAGACATATTTGGTCACTCGGCTCGTCACACCAATAACTCATCTGTTGGACAATCTCATCTATCATAGGATCAATGCACTGATGAATCATTCCGAGCCAACCAAACTATACATTGCATAGTCAGGCCATGACATAAGCTTATTTCAGGCCACAATTTGTCAGCGATTCTGACTAGCCATGATGACATGCGACGCTTCCATCCGCATAAATTTCAGCGCTCGCTACTGGCATCAATCAGTCGGGATCACCGAGCTCAATGATATCGCTAACGGCCGCGGGCATTATTAGTCCGCACCTTTCGAATTCAGTGGCGGAATCTCCCCATGTCCGTGCTATCGCTACAGGGATCGATGGACCGCCGGACCGGACTCCATTCTGTCACTGTCGGTTAGTGCCGGCCCTAACCTTATCGGGCCGCTCGGTTCGACAATGCCAAATGGGACTCCGCAGCCGGAAAAGGACGTTCGGCCCCAACTGTGGCCGTTGGCTCGCTTCAGAGCGGTCTCATGATCCAGAACATTTCGAGCTCGCCGTGGCCCAGGCCGGGTCGGAGAGTCCGTTCTGTGAGGCCCGTTTTGGGTAAGTCGTTATTAGTATTTATATCAGTCATCTGTGAATGTCTCCGCCAGTCGCGGATGTTTGTCAACCCGTCCTAGCTGAATTTCTCAGCGGGAAAATTCTGAGAAATTCAGCCTCAACTAAAACAAATATCCCGCATCGCTTTCAACTAAAAATGCAGCGCTATTTTCCGCAGAACCGCGGTCGACTGTTTGTTTCCAGCATCCGTGCAGGGTTTGTCGGGCTGCGGAGAGAAGGTCTCCTTCCGTGACCGGAGAGCGGCACACCGGACAGCCTCGGCAACAGAGTGGTGTGCCGATCGGATGGCGTGCCCGCCCGCCATCCCACGCGCCTCCGAAGCCAAGTCGGCGGCTGTGGCGGCCCGTCTGGCCGGCCGACTGGGAGCTGATGCCTTCTGGACACGGGAGACCGCTGAGCTGGCCGGAATCGGTGTGAGCCGAAACTAGCGGGGCCGAACCGGGCCACGGCTCGGCGAGATTTGACAAATGGAGGTCCAATCAGCCATTCTTAAAGCCGAATGGGCCTCCTGAAAGCAAAATCGATGCTTCTTGGAGGCAATCGGTAGCATGATGGATAGCTTTTGTCGCCAAGGTCGACACGGAACGGCTGGAATGATACCTCATGAACCTTAGTTCTTGTGATATATGCAAATGAACATGTCAACTGCTTCCATCATCTATCATTAGTGCATTCTTGCGTTTTAAGCCAGAAGAGCCCGATTAGCACCAGTTGATGCATTAGCATTCCAGACCGACGCTGGCGTTTTGGCGGTCAATTCCAACGCAACTAACGAGCTCCGCTGAATTCGATTAGGCCATTCAAATCAGCCGGATTTAATTAGCTCCCTACTCATTTCCAGCTAAAACACGGCTCGACGCCGACCGCCGGCGTTGGTGCTGGCTGCTACTCGGCCCGTGGTCTGATGGAGACACCCCGGCCGCCTCCCTGGCCTTTCAGGTCTCATGTGGACGAAAAGATGGGACCATTGTGAACCAGCTCAGCCTGCTGAGGATAGCACCGCGAATCGTTTCCGGCTGGAAAGATTCATAACATGCCATCGGCACAGCTGCGTGCAGCGTGCCGCTGGTGGAATAACAAAAACTTGTTTTTTTAGAAAAGTTTCTGTCCGAGATTCCAGACATTCCCGATGTAGAAAGTTTTCTGCTTGCTGTAGTTTGTTGGTACACACCAGACGCGAATACCAGCTTATTGCGGGATTTACGAGTATTCCTCGGGGGCTGACGGCGGTTCTGGCGTCGCGACCACCGCGCCGGTCGCCGCTGGCGGCGGTCAGATGAGGTCATCAGAGGTCATCGGCCATGGTGGCGAGGTCGGTGGCCGCGGGCGGTACTGAGACGACGATCGAGCGTGGCCAATAGCGGCCAACAATAGACTGGTCGGCCGACGGGCTGTGCGACGGACCGGCCGGCCGGCCAGCGCGCTGCCAAGACGTATGGGCCGGCGGAAAAGGCAGGTTGGCCAGCCGATATCGGACGGCCCTGGGAAGCCGGCGGATACGGAGGGTGAGCTGTGAACCAGCCTTTACGTCAACCCGCTGTGCTAGTGGGTCTTTTGTGGCGCTGCTCGCGCGTGCAGCGTTGGTAGTGAAGTATCACCAACAGTTACTTGATTGCCAAAGCATTTTATTGCAAGTTTTCACAAAAAAAAAAAAATAGAATGCCTCATTTTATTCGCATGGCTGAAATACGCTAAAAGCCTGGGCGATGCCGTCACCAATGTTCATGCCACCAGCACAGCCAGGAGTTCGGTGCCACTGTCACTGCATTCAATGCCAATGCAGTCGCATATTTTTTCCATCAGATTAGGCTTTCTTTGTGCCTCATCTGCCGCCATTATTTTTGCATCGCTTGGATGCCAAAATAATTACGGTATAATAGTAGGGCTTTGCGGCTTCGCCTGTGACGTGCCTCTGATGGTTTTCATCATACTTAGCCTCATCAGAATCGAAGTCCCCTTAGAGTAACCGATATATTTATACCTACCCGTGGGATTCGGATTACAGCTGGTCGGAAGCAGTCGTTATCCGGTCGGCAACATAGGCGGTAGGATTGCTTCCGGACGTTGATTGCTAATCGGTAGCTAACCCCGATCGATTGAGAATGAACAGGTCTGGCATATATCCAACACCAAGCGAAACTATAGCCAGTAAAACCTTGTGTGTAGCTAAGCTACTCATGACAGAACATTTAGGGGCTGTCGAAATTACTCCAACTAAAACTTCCGAGGGTTGACCCAGGCACATGCTATTATTAACATCGCGAAAGCATACAAATCGCGCGAGAACCTACGTGCGAGTCTAAAAAGCTGAAGTTTCCCTTACGAGGAGGTATGTTTTTTTTTAATGATCAAAATTGTCCCGAAGGCTTGATGAATACCATGGGAAGTTACGACTGTGGAAGCACCTGATGTTTGATAGGGGCGCTTGAATACAGCACATATTGAAGAGGGGTTGTCGATCCGAGACGTCGGACGGTGAGCCTTCGTCTGTATAGTCTTCTCATCCCCTTCCGTCTCGTGACGTCTTATTTACGATGCCACCGGTATTTTGTTTCAGATTTTTCGGTCATCACAGGAGTGCTGAAGTCAAATTTACGCTGGCTGTATTGAGACAATGCGGCTGTGGATTGGCACTTTGGACAGAATGGAAACTACAAACAAGATTGTTGTCAACAACCAGAGGCAGCAGCGCCGGCTGTATGGCGCATTCTCTCGTTCACCTCCTTGTGAAGGATAAACAGCCGTGCTACTGCAGTACTGCAATCATCAATCGAAACACAAAACATCATTGAACCTGGACATCGATCATGTGCTCACGCAATTGGGTCTTCATTTTTATGCAAAAAGACAAGTGTCTCACGTTTGACACGTGGTGCGAGGCAACATCCGAGTTTTTCGAACAATATGCCTTGCAAACTGCTGTCGAGTCAGTCCACAGAATGCCTTCGAGTGGACCTACAGACTGCTGTGCAGTGTAGACTGCTGTCCAGCCAATCTGCAGTCCGCTGTCTATTGTCGTGAGACTCTACAGACTGCTGTTGACTGACCAGCCGAGCTGCAGACGGTGGTTGTGTGGAGCTGCAGGCGGCTGTCGGCAGCCGAGTGGGAGCTGCAGACTGCCGTCGAGTGTCTGTCGACTCGAGTGGAACTACAGGCGGCTCGTAAAGTCGTCGGGCCCGACGGCCGAGGGCGTTGCTCACGTTCGTCGTTAGTTAACGATGCGCCGGGCGCAGCCGGACGGCTCGCCAGATCCACTCCGCCGTGCAACGACTCAAGACTCGGCTCGTGAACAGTAATTAGCTTAGGCTGTCCAGGCCAGGCGGGCCAGTGTCGTGCGCCGTATAAATCTCGCCCTCTTCCCGCCCCCGGACAGGCCCTGGTCGACGGAGAAAACGTCCGAGGCAGATGTTTTTATGTCAAAGTTTGTGGGCGGTGGAACAGAGCACGGCTTCTAGGAGACGGCCCATGAGACTTTAATCAAACTAAGTTAATGTTGGTAGCTCAGAGCACTTAGAGAAAGTCAGGTAAGCGGCTTTTTACTGACGTTCTGATGCTGTCTCCAAGTGCAAAAACAATTTATACCCGGCGTAAGTACCGACTTTATTCCATGTCTACGTTTATCAGATGTCATTTTTAGACTTTTATATGCCCTGATCCGTTTTATTCTTTCTCCGAACCCCACGTCTGCGCAGGGTCTGGACGGTCGCCGGCCACTGAGCCTATGGAGAGGATCCTGATCCCTCCCTGGGGTGACCGTTCTGCCGTCCCGGAATCCGCCTCTCAAACAGGATAGTGCTAAAGCCCCGACGGCACGCAGACCGGTGACCGCCGCAGCCATCTCCCACTCAAAATTATATCAGAATTGTTCTGATATGGCGTCAGAGAAGGCTACCTCAACCCAAACCAAGCAATAGATGATTGGCTATTGACAATGAGACTAATCGCACAGATAATTGTGCATTACTCAGGCTATGAGACTCTCACCCTGAGGCACAGCTCTGCTCTCACCCAATGAGTTAACCACTCTCACCTCTGGCACAGCTCTCACCCAATGCGTTTCAGCACTCTCACCGTCTGCGGAGGTGGCCAGGGCCGTGTGAGAAGGGTACCGCTGCTGTGACACTGCTCTCACCTAGTGAGTTATATGGCGCTAGGTGAGCTCACATTGTGATACGACTCTCACGTAGTGAGTTTTGCTGCACTCTCACCGTCTGCAGATGTAGCCAGCGCGGTGTGAGAAGGGTACCGCTGCACCATTCGCCGTACAGTGTCGATCTGCTCTAGGGCAATCTGCACGGCGTCCAGGTACTGCGCGCCGCACGGCACGTATATACTCCAGAACTGAAACGAAGAGAAACGGGCGTCTGTCAGGATATATATAGTTTCAGAACTGAAACGGAGGGGGGCGGGAATCTGTGAATATTTGCATAGTTAATTTAGTTACACTCTAGAACTGAAACGGAGGGAGCTGGGCGTCTGTCAATGTATGCTCCAAAAATGTAACGGAGACGGGATCCACCACACACGGATACTCCAGAACTGAAATGGAGGGGACGGGCATTCGCTAGGATATAGGAACTCCAGAGCTGGAATGGAGGAGAAGGGTTATCTCGTGGTACACACTTCAGAACTGAAACGGAGATGCATGATGGGTGTCCGCTAGTTATCCATACAGAGCTGAAACGAAGGGCCGTCCGTCCGTGAATTTTCTCCGGCATTGGAACGGAAATCGACGGACATGAGACATCAAGTCAGCTTACCCCAAAATATCAAGTCAGTTTATCATCATGCTGCACCTTTTATCGGATATCTTACGCTGATTTTTCATGTATTTCATCTTTTTCTTATTTCATCCTTGGTGCATAACTGGTTGCCGATTATGTATTATCGCTAGTCTGTATGTTATTAAGGGTTAGGCCTACGGTTAGACCACCATTTATTGAGCTCCATCACTTTGATTATCAGTTTTGTCCTTGTCTAGTGAAGCTGTTAGTATCGCTGTAGTTAGTATTGTTAGTTAGTATTGCTGTAGGGGTATCGAGCATTTTTTTTTTTTGTAATCAACCATCGCGAAAAGGCCTGCAAGTGGCGCTATCTTAGCAAATTAATGTCAGACGCTTTTAAATTTCCCGTTCTTTATCAGAGAAGGATGTTCGTCATCATTGGATCAGCGAACACCCATCGGAGTTCAATCAACTTCTGAAGATATCACACCATCTCGGAAACATTTCAAACTAATTGAAAACGGAGCACCATTGAGTACCTCTCAAAATCTTATTCTGATAGTGGTCCGCCCGAGTCTGCCGCAAAGATAGACCGCCGCTGTAGAAATGGCCGGGTCGTCTGCCGACGCGGCGCAGAGGGGGGGGGGGGGCTGGGGGAGGGGTGCGGCAGTGGGCGGCGCCGAGCGCTGATGAGAAGTCGTGGGAACGTGCCGCATGGACCGGCCCCATGCAGAGCGGCTCCATATGACAGAATGATGGGTCCGGTGTGAGTCTGCGCGTCAGAGAACCGGTGTCACCCGACTGGGGGTCCTGGTGGGCTGTGGGTGTAGCGACTGGGGTCCCTCTGGGGGCAGGGTGTAACGACTGGGGTCCCTCTGAGGGCTGGGTGTAACGACTGAGGGTCTCTCTGAGGGATGGGTATAGTGACAGGGAGTCCCTGACGGCTGCAGGTGCTGTCATGGAATCCCAGGGGCACTGGGGTATCCGCTGGGGTTCTGGAGGGCTGGGGTTCCAGCTGGGGGTCCTGGAGAAGAGACAGACTCCAGCTGCTTAGTTCTGAAGAGCGGCAGGGTCCTTAGTCGTATAGCCCGTGTTTAGAGTTTAAAGTTGGTGCATGTTGATGAGTCGTGTCTCCATAAAAGAGGGCGTAAAAATGAAACGGGGCACTGCCGGTATTGGTTTCCGACTGTAAAATGCAGAGTTCTGTTCATAAGCTGCGGACGGAGACCGTCGTCCATCAGGAGAATGTCTCCGTCAAGGAGCAGCGAGCTATGTCCGCCGGTTTCGGGACCAGATATACCGCACAGCGTCTTACAGGCGGCCATCATGATAATCGGTGATCTCCCGTGAAAAGTGCAACTGAAAGGGGGTACGTTTGTGCATTGTGATGCGATGCCACCAATCCGCATAATTGTGGCAAAAGATATATACGGCTTATTGAAATATGAAATGATTTCTGACTCATCTGGTAATATTCTTGTCGGGGTGTCTGCTTTTAAACAGCATTCCATCTGCATCTTTGTCTCACGCCTGATTTGGGTGTTTCATCAATTTTTCTACTTCTGTGGCAAAAATGTCATTTTTGATAGGCATATTTCCATTTATTTGAAGTCAATTCTAGGTAGGTTCATTTAAGTACCGTTTTTTTTTCATTTTTCAGGTTCATTTTTACCGCTTCATTTAAGTAAAACGTCCTATAAAACTACACCTGGCATTGGGATTCTTAGCATCGGTATGGATTTCATTGTTGAATTGATATCATTACGCGAAAGGGCTCTTTCCTATGCTGCGAAAACACTACGACACACACCTCATAAGTCAGCGGGTCAACGGTCATGCAACTGCATTTAAACAGTGCAGCATCACAGTGGAGATAACACAATCACTCTTCAGGGAGCCGGCTGAATCCTATTTCAACTCGTAACTCCACAGATAACCGTTCCATTTGTACCGAAATCACCCCCTACTGCTACATAGCCGCCGACTCGGTTATAACGTACACAGTCCTAAACTCTGCGGCACAGCGTTAGCGGTAGAAATGACGGACTAAACATGTCTGGCACGCCTGTAAGCTGATGCCATTTGGGACGATGTCTCAGCGTCCGGCCCCTACTGAGTGGAGGACGGAGACGTTTGTAGCGCAGGACGGCGACGTTTGTAGCGCGGGCTCGGCGTCTCGACGCTCGTCGGCGCCCGTTAGGGTCAGCTCGGACAATTGAACCGCCTCTGATGAAGACAGTAAGTTGCACAAACGCCGGACGGGTGGTGCAATTCGGACATGTTCCATCCTAATGGACAATGCACGTCGTCCGACCGCGTTAGAATATGCATGAGGGAGAGAGTTACCGTGTGAATGCTGTGGTTTAACTATTCTGAGTAATCTACCTCATTCTCAATGCATTTTACTACCTGGTGCACCTGTCAGTGGTGACATTGAGTCAGTGGCGCGGGAACTTCTTTCAGACTGGGGGGGCTGAACCATAAAAGAAATCAACCTAGGGTACTCCCAAATCTAGTTTTCTCACCGGTTTTAGGCCACTTATTTTTCAGACCTTGGCCTTTTCAACAACAAAAAACACGAAAATATTTTCAAAAAGTGAGGTATTCCGTCTCAGCTGAGTGAAGAAACTACCGTTTTGGCAACCTGGAATAAAGGTTTTAATCTGCCAAATGAGTTGCCGAGCCAGTGAAATAGGTGGATTTTTCACTAACATGCTTTCTTCCTTTGTGACCCACAACCCCTAATTTGGGGAGGACAAGCTGCCCAACGGTTCCTGGCCTCATGAAACGTTGTGAGGCACCGCCCCCACGGCCGCAGAGTTGTGGGGGCAAGCTTCCCCCACTGCCCCCTCCCCCGGTTCCCACGCCTATGTATGAATCTATGAAATTATGTTGGTAGATTTCCGATTTCGATTCCTCCAGCTGGGGGGGTGGGGGGGGGGGGCTCAAATACATTACGAGCCCCCCCCAGCCGAAAAGCTAGGGGGGGCTCAGCCCCCGCTAGCCCCCCCGGTTCCCGCGCCACTGCATTGAGTTTCCATCTCTTCAGATAAAACTCCAATTTTCAACTCTTTACTTCAAGATCAACCTATCTCATCAAATCTCGACAACCACAGAGAAGGCCGCCAAAACATGCACAAGAGAACGATGTTAGCATATCCGGGATGGCTGTATCACAAATTGACATTTGTGTGAGTCCCCCCTCTCCGTTGAACACTCGGGAAAATGATGCCATTTCCGTGTGTTCCGGCTTTTGTGTTCGATGGAACATCAGCTAGAAAGAGAACGTGCAGAGTCTGAGGCACGAAATACCACCCGAGGGAGCGCTATGCATGTCATATCGGCGGGCCAAACAAAACTTAAATGATACAATTTCTGAAAGATCTTTTAAAATATCTGTTTTACTTCTAAAACCATTTCGAGACCATTCCGGATTCTCAAGCATTTGCCAAACTCATAGATGTTGTTGCTGGGTCTACGGTGCATGGGCTTATATTTTACTCGTATGTGATGAATACAACACATCATTTTAATGCATATTGAATGGAAGTGTTCAATTAACCCTCGCATGTGTAGGGGGGGGGGGGTCGGATGGACCCCCCCATGGTTTTTCGCGAATAACTCGCGTAAAAAGCGGCCGATCGCGACGAAACTTTCAGTACCCTCGCATTGATCAATTTGACACCTACCCTGAAAATTTCATGACCCTGACCCAAATGACCTTTGACCTGTGACCTCTTTTCCGAGACCATGTTTGGCCGGAATCGCGATTTCGCGTATGTCGGCTCGCACTAGTCGCGTGTTTGCAAGCTTTTCGTGGTTTCAAACGTTCAAACATGTGATTTGATGTTACTCCCGTGTGTGTCAAGGTCACCTGAAGGTCAGGTCAGGTCATTGACCTTTGGTGACCTCGGGTGACCTCGGGTCACTTTTTCGAGTTTTACATGTTTCTAGGCTAGTTTTTGGAGCTGAATTCGAATTTAGCAACCATCTGAACATTTAAGAAGTAGTTTTGGTGACTTCGTAACATGTTACGAAGCTGTCAGAGGCGGTTGACACGTACTACGAATACCCGTCACGACGCCTACTGGTTGACCTGACCTGACCTGACCCGACCTGGTCTAAATGCTTCAAGACATCATCTGTGATCAAAACCAACACGATATTCGTGATCAGCACCCCGAAAAACCCCTTAGCAGCCACACTTTACGACTTTCTAACAGGTCCCGATTTTCCCGACTTTGGGTCATTGACCTGACCTGGAAGGTCAACCAATGACCTAGGACCTTAAAATTGGGTATCATCGGCTTCCTCTCGTCACGGGCAACACGCTCGTTTTTTCCGCGAAGCTCTAGCTCGATCAGGGGCCAAACGGCAAGGGGGGGGGTCCAACCGACCCCCCCCCCCCCTACACATTAGAAGCTGGCAAACGCCGCACACATGCGAGGGTTAATAATATTTTGAGTGCTAAATATTTAATGACAACACCTGTTTTTTACCATTTAAAAAATGTTATGCTGCCAACGTCCAACGTTCACGAAAAACTGATCAAACAAGTAAAATCGCGAGAACTGTCTTCTACTCAAAGACAGTACTTAGTGGCTATATCCGGAACAC